TCTGTATTTTGCCCCTACTCACAGCAGTAAGACAACAGGGTTGCTGCTAGTGCTACCTAACCAAGTGGAGTAACAACACAAGTGGCATTGTGAGCAGCCACTCTCTGGCATCTGAGGATTTGTTTCATATGGTTCTTCTGTTATATCCTTTATCTCCTATTCCCTTGATTTTCCTTTTTTATATTATCTCTTCCTGCTTGTTTTCTTTTGCCCTCACCTATCTTCTCTTCTTTACCTTTCTTGATACCTTATTCTGTATTCATCCTCCTAACTCCATCAAATTCAAATGCTCACAGGCCCCACTCTTGGTACCCTTCCTGCCATTGAATTCCCTTGCGAGATATTTCTTTGTTTCTTCCCAAGGAACTATTTGAATTCAGTGATTATGAAGGGAACTTGTATGTTCAGTGTATAAAAATTATTTTCATCTTTTGATCCATTTCACTTTTGATACGGGTGTTATGGGGATGATCTGGGTTATTTAACTGCTGGCATAAACAAAGAATTCTACCTATATGACAGTGTGGAGAAACAGTTTTGTCATTCCACAGGTATATATGTCTAGCCTGGAAGTGACAAGGAGCTAAATTTTCCCCTCACTGAAACACCTGTGGGTTTTAGGATTGATAATATGAGTATTTCCAGACACACGTTGTTCACAACTGGAGTTGGCATGGAACGAGGGCAATTTGTACTTCCATTTTCGTGTGAAATGCAATTTAGACTTCATGGAGGATTTTATTAGTAATACCTGCAGGACGGATTATGCCAAAGTGATGATTTGTTTCTGTCAGATTATTACTAATGCTTCTCTTTCAGTGACTTTGAATTGGTACAGAAATGGCCAGTCTATCACGAGTTATTTTATACTTATGATCAGTTAATGATGGTATCTTCCAGTTCCTTTCCAGGTGCAGATTAGGATGCTGTTTTAAAATGATAAATCCTTTATCAGCTTAAGCGATGGTTAGCTGAAGTGTCCTTTTCTACAGCCCTTGTCTGTATGCCTGAATGACCTGAGGTGTTCAGGTTAGAAGCCCTATAACCACTTCTGGGACAGCTAAAAGAGTCATTCTTCATAACATGTCCTCAGTAGGAGGGCATTCTTCCTCTTTGAGGTCATTATTATTTTCCCTCACTTTTGCTTCAGAGCTCATTTGCCTTCTCACAATTTTTTTACTCGACAAGATGAAGATATAGATGATGGGAAGATCTTGGGCTTGGGAAGTAGTATTTGTTTGTCATCCATTAAGGCCATTTTGAAAGATACTGCTCTAAAATCTTTGTTTTGTTCTGAAAAGCAAGGAGTGTACGCTGCTATTAAATATACTAAAAGACAAGGTGTATTTTCTTCTTTTTGAGGACTCTGTTTCCTTTTGTTTATACCCGTCAATGTGTAGATAAAACCTGCAGTAGATAGTTATTAGCAGAATGTAATAGATCATCATCAACAATGACTTCTTTTTCAATGGCACTATCTTGGAAATGTCTTCCAACCTGAGGAACATTGCAAATGCCCAATCTGTGTGTGTAAGAATGAAAAAGGCAGCACAAAGCTGATATATTGACATATTTGCCTAGATATGAAGAACTAGAATATTTCATTTGAAACTTGGAGAAAAACTTTAATGTCATCAGCAGTGTTCATGAACACATAAAACTGCAGCAAAGGTGACACTCCTAATGCATGTGTCATTCCTCAGCTGTGATGTTGCCAGAGAGTTTAGCAGTGCTCAGTCAATATGTGTCTGAAGGGTCAATATGTGTCTGAAGGGTCTAGGAATCCACGAGCAAATTGATTCCATCGATCATGGGAAATTCTCTCTAATCAATGCCTATTTTGTTGAACAAAAGAGAACAAAAGAGAGTCCTGAAATGTGCTGAGTAAATTTAAAATGCTCAGGACTTCACCTATGTCTGATACCACCTCCAAGAAAAAACAGAAAACCACTTTCAGCTTCAATTCTGTTTACTGTAGTTTATGAGCAAACAGAGTCCGACCATTTTACTTAATATTCAAACATTTCTTTAAAAAGTCTTGTTGCACAAAGTAATATGTTTCAAGGTATTACTCAGTACAATGCTGAAAAGCTTGTTTGGATAGTTATTCAAGTAAACACTGAAGTACTCAGAATGAAAGGAAATATGCACTAGAGCTACGTGGCATTATTTAAATAGCTCAGAGGGTTTTATTTAAAAGAGAGTGAATCACTGTCAAATTTCAGAGAAACACGTTATTTAAGCCACCAGTGCATAGAGGGTCCCCTATCATTAGCATTTTGCTTCTTGACACTAATTTATAGCACAGGGTAGTATTGCATCAAATCGTTGTCAAACAGATAATGCCAATGCTCCGTTCAGAGCTTTCACATCAGCTGCAAAATGACAGATAACAAGACTGCTTTTGCCTAAATAAAGCAATGCATCTGTTAGAGTCCTAAATGACTTTTTGCACAGGGTGTCCTTCAATTAAGAAAGCTCAGGCAAGCTGTGGATATGTGTTGGAATGAATCTTCATGTACTGAAAGGAGAGAATCTTCTCTCCGGTAGAAGAGAGTAAGACTATTCATTACCTAATGAAATGAAAACCACTTCATGTAGGGTATTGTGATTCAACAGTACTCACCAAAATATATTCTACCCTCAGTTAAAAGTGGAGCTAACAAATGAGACATTATCAGAAGCGACTCCACAAAGAAAAATACGGAACACCACATATAGAGAGAGGCTAGAGTAGAGCCTGTGTAGGGAGGCATCTGGACCTTCTGCTTCCAGTTATCCTATTTCATAGGGACTAGGAAGGCCATAAACAAATTGAGCAAATCTTACCTTGAGGTCCCAGGAAATATTACCACATATGCTACACAGCCCTTTTGCAAGAGTCCAAAACACAGGGCTAATTTATCCTCCCCTCATTCTCTAATAACTCTATTCCAGGTAGGATAAGGACTGTATATTTCTGCTACAAGAGCTGCTACCATGGTATTTCTCGCCAGGACGATACACCAACAGGTCTCAGTGATCCTACCTCGGCCTCGGGGTAGAGCAGATGTTCCAAAGTTTCTCTTACCTTTCTAATATCTTAGCCCTGGATTTCACACAGTAATTTAAGGACTGTAGATGTCTATCTCTTCTGCAATATGTCTTTAAATGGCCCAAATTCCGCATGCTCCATTTTCCAAGCTTGCATATACTGACCCTTAAAACATATGCATCTCCCTCCATCTACCTATAGAAAAGCAAGTCTGCTTTCCTTTAAAGCAGATAATAAACTGTTCTGAGTGACCAGCAAAGTGTTAAAAATGGCCCTAAACACTGCCTCTCCCACACACATGTTATAAGCAAGTCTTAAAAATCCTACCAATATTTTTCTCTCTGCCCTTTAAATTCCTCCCTCATCTTCACAGTGCAGCCAATGTTCCTCCTCTCCAATTCTCCCACAGTTGGTTGTAGATGCCCCAGTGATTCCTGCCCTCAGTTGTTTCTTTTGGAGGTCTCAACCCACCTTCAAGGTTCCTCAGTTGCTTCAGCAGCAAATTCTGCACTGTTCCAGCCTGTAACAAGTTACGGGAAAATCAAGAGGAACTTGGCATCCTTCTGTAGAACAAGCTGTGACCTGGACACAAACAGCAGAGCTGTTCATGCAGTGAGGTGAGAACCTCTGAAAGAAGAGTGAGGTCAGAAAACACTATTGCTATCCCAATGTAAGGCTCTCTGCTTGGAGATTAGAGGCTTAGTTCATATGCATCCCTCTTTATTCATTTTTGCAGCGACAGTGAGAGGCAGAAGAAAGGAATTAGGCAGCTAAAGTGTTTTTTAACTGCCAGTTGGCCATTCTCCCTGTGATGATGTAGGACTCATTTAGGTTTCTTCTACTATATTCTCAAAAGACAGAAGCTGGTAGGTGCCCAGTACAGGCCAAAAGTACTCTCCTGAAACAATGCAAGACAGATAATCATCTTCTAACTGAGTTAGGATGGCTGAAACTAACCATTCATTTAAGCAAAAGCAGTACTTTCAATCTGTGACCCAGGCAGGCAAAGATGATCACTCAAGAGGAAAGAATCATCACCAGCAAAGTCAGATAATGTTAGCCATATTCAAGATAGACCAAATGTTTGTGGTATTGTGCATAATTACTCCATACAGATGGGAACAGCACAGTACAAGACAACAGACTAAAGATGCACATCAATTCCTGCACCTTATCATAGACACTTATCCACAGCAACTCACAAATCTCATTGAGATTAAAGCATAACAGCCCAGTGTGGCAACGATGCTTTATTCTACCTGGATTTATTACATGGTGCAGTATTTCCTAAGTAATTAAACATAAACTGTGGCTGTCAAAACAAATTAACTACTCGTTTGTTCTTTAATATATTATCTTGTCCTCTTAAGAAGTTTGTCTACCACTGTGTGATTGCAGAACTGGTCATTGCTCTGTGTACATCTGTAGAAGTGATAGGACTGACAGCTTTCATTCAGGAATGGGGATCCCTTGCTCTACTGAGCCAACACTCACCCTCAGGTGAACCACAGAATTTTTAGTGTATAAAGCACTATTATTTTGTTTTATCTTGCTCAACTCAAAGGTGCTCACACATCCATCTAAGAATCAGCTG